CCCTTCACAGGAGCAAAATCCAAAATAGTGCGAAAATTGTCCGGGGACGATTTTTCGATTACTGGTGACAGTTTTTGAGTATTCATTGACTCTTGTTTTCCCTCCGAGAATCCGCCTGCAGGGGGACGTGCCCGAACTCATCTGAGTCCGCTGCGCCGCCGCGCGCGTGGCCGCGACGCCGAAAAAAGTGTGAGGGGGCCCGTGGCTTAGTCTCGACGGCGGGCCCAGGGGGTGTTCGGATGCAACTCCTGGGAGGTCAAATTCTGATTTTGCCCTGTTCCGAAATCCGACTTAATCCCGCTGAATCCCGCTTAATCCGGCTTAATCCCGCTTGATCCGAGGCCCACTCCGGCGTAACAGCTCCCAAATGGGGCTTAATCCTCCTTACTCTTTCCGACGAAAACCTCCCCGTAGTTGCCTCCTAAGGGGTAAGCGAGAAGAAGCAGGCCCTCTCAGAAGGCAGCGGGGCTTCTCGGCAGCCCTCTGGCCTCTGAGAAGCTGCCCCTGTCTTCGGAGATGGCTCAGAGCACTTTCCAAGAGGCCGGAGGCCTTCCGAGCCTTCTGAGGAGGCCCGCCCCTTCTGGCTTCGCCCCCCCGGGCTCGCCGCCGACAATCGGCCCGCGCGCGCCGCGCGCGTGGCCTCGACGCCCAAAAGCGTGCGTGTGGCCCAGCGGGTCGGTGCGTTGCGCGCGCGTGCCTGATCTGCGCGGTGTGGTTTACCTCCTGCGCCCGCGCGCCCAGATGCCGCACACCAGCGGACGAAGAGTGGTTTAAGATGAGCTGTTCCACATCGGGAGCCCGTCCTCCTCCTCGATAGGTGGGGGGGCAGCGAGGGCTGCGGGGCCGCAGGGGTCCTTCAGGGCCCCTCAGGGAACCCTTCGGGGCCCAAAGAAGGGGGCCTTGAGGGCCCGAAAGGTATACCTTTCCCCCCACCCCCCGTTCGTCGCACCCCTATTTCTCGCCCTCCATTGAGCGACGCCCAACCCTGTTTTAAGGAAACGCAAACACGGACTAAGTTGAGGCGCGTGGATTAGTGGCGGGTCTCGTTTCTTCGGCGCGATGTGTCGCCAAATGAGGCGGTCTTGGCCTCATGTTTCGGGAGTGCTTTCCGCGATCCGTGGATCTGCCGCCCACGCGCCAGATACACGGATCCGTGATCGATGTTGGCGCGCGCCCGAATCTTGCGCCTTGTTGTGGGCCGTCTTGTCGGATGGGGTACAGCCAAGACGCTGAAATAAGGACCAGCTTCGGCCCGAGGGGTTCTGAATTTCGGGCCGTTCCTAAAATCCCAAAGAGCGCGTTCTGTGGTCGCTTGGAGGCGGGGGGGTTGGAACCGGACCCCCCCCTCCCTCCCTTTCCTCTCTCCTCGGGCTGGCGCCTGCGTCGGCGGCGGCCGGCGGCGGCGGCGGGGACGACGATTTTCCTTTTTGGGCCTGCGCCGGCGCTTGCGGCGGCGGGCGGCGGCGGCGGGGAGCGTCGACGAGGACGACAGTGGTGGTTGTGGTGGTGGTGGTGGCGGTGGTGGTGGTTGTGGTGGTGGTGGAGAGGTGGTTTGTTGTGGTGGTGGTGGTGGTTGTGGTGGTGGTGGTGGTGGTGGTTGGTGTGGTGGTGGTGGTGGTGGTGGTGGTGTGGTGGTGGTGTGGTGGTGGTTTGTGGTGGTGGTGGTGGTGGTGGTGGTGGTGGTGTGGTGGTGGTGGTGGTAGTTTGGTGGTGGTGTGGTGGTGGTTTGTGTGTGGTGGTGGCGGTGGTTTGTGGAGCTGGTGGTGGTGGTGGTGGTGGTGGGTGTTTTGTGGTGGTGGTGGTGGTGGTGGGGTGGTGGTGCTGCTTGTAGTGATGGTGGTTGTGGCGGTGGTGATGGTGGTGGTCGATTGTGGTGGTGGTGGTGGTGGTAGTGGTAGTGGTGGGTTTTTGTGGTGGTGGTGGTGGTGGTGATGGTGAGTTGTGGTGGTGGTGGTTGTGGTGGTGATGGTGGCTGTGGTGGTGGTGGTGGTTGTGTGGTGGGTTAGTGGTGGTGGTGATGGTAGTGGGTTGAGGCGGTGGTGGTGGTAGTGGTGGTGGTGGTGGTAGTGGTGGTAGTGGTGGTAATCGTCGCTGCGTCCCGGCCGTCGCCAGCGCCAGCGCCGGCGCTGCTGGCCGCCGCCAGCGCCGCCGCCGCCGGCGCCAGGGGGGGGAACCCCCCCACCCCCTTTTGGGCTGCCTCTGATCATCGTCGCTGCGTCCCCGCCGTCGGCGCTGCTGGCGGCCGCCAGCGCCAGCGCCAGCGCCGGCGCCGAGGGGGGGGCGTTGAACCTTCCCCCCTGGGGGGCCGGCGGGTGGGGGGTTCGGGAGGGGGGGGTTTGGGGGGGAGGGGAGTCTCCCTGGTTTTGATCGACGGCGCCGAGTGTTGGGGGGTGGGGCCCACCCCCCGGTTCGAAACGCGCCGCCGAATTTTCCCGATGCGAGCGCCTGTGAAACGCGCTCTCTCTTACATCCAGGTCGGGGAACCTCTTCGTGGACGAGGCGTGCCGTGGCCAGACAAAGCCCTTTCGTTCCTAAGTTAACGTTTCCAATTGTAGCACGATGCCTGTAAATGTACGATTGATGGACAAAATCCCGCACAACCTGCGCGGCCATGGTGCTGGCGCAAACCTCATTGCACCCCCAGGCCCCGATTTAATGTCGGTCGACCTCGCCAATGGGACCCGAGCTTTCGGCCAATGAGATCGGCACGTCGTGGCGCAGCCCGCCAAAAATATCAACATATAATCGGCGTCACCCCAACATACTAATACTGTGTGTGGGTCCCCCCCAGGGGCGACGCGCGCGCCGAACAATCTAATAGTATAAGCTCTGTGGCGGACCATTTCTGTCCATACTGCCCGGGAAACGATGTACTGCACTATGTTTGTGCTGTATGTTCGGGTCGGACGCACGCCTCCGAGGAGGTATGTCTTACGTCTTCCTGCGCCCCATAGAGGGGACGAGATGTTGCCCATCAGCCGTGCTGACGCCGCTGCGCTGCCCTCGCCGCCGCGGCTGGATGCGCCCCGACATCCGGGTCAGAACGTGCTCCGGGAAAGGTCCAGGGGGCAGCGGTGTCGGTATTTCTTTGTTTTCCCATTTCGGGGCTCCTTCGTGGCCATCCTGGGGCCATCTTGGGCGCTCTGACGATCCACGACCCCCCGCGTACAGGCCGTGGGGGAGGAGGGGGGAAAACCTCGATTTATCTGGCGGGAAAAAGCACACAGACGCACGTAATCGTCGATTCCCTGGAGAAGATGGGAAACCATGGGAAATGGGGGGGGGAAGACGAACATGCAGGAAATGTGTAACAATATGGGGAATCTTGGGATTTGTCGCTATTTATTTGTGTGCCCCTGGGCCCCTTCACTCTCTCCGAAGGGGCATGGGGTGAGGATGGGGCTCTCCTGCGAGGGCCGAGGCTCTGAGCCGCCTGCGTCCAGAAGAGTTATGTGTCGGTCGCTGCAAAACGTGATTTTTCGGTGATTCTTTAGCCGATCAAGGGCCGCGCGCAATTCGGCGGCGGGCGAGGGGGGGAAGTGAGAAGGAGAAGGCCTTCTCAGAAGGCGGCGGGACTTCTCAGAAGCCCTCGCGCCTTCTGAGAATTTTTTTCTCTTCGGGGAAGCTTAGAAAACTTCTCAGAAGGCCGGGGAACTTCCGAGCCTTCTGAGAAGGCCCGCCCCGTCTCATTTCCACCGGGTGCGCCGCCTAGCAATGCTGCCCTCGCAGACTGAAGCGCCGGCGCGAAAACACAACGCAACGCCACACAATCACTGAAAATCATGCATCCAATTTGGGAACGCCCGTTCGCCCATGAAAGAATGACATAAGCATAAAAACTCGGAGGTCCGCGCGGACTTCTCGGATTGCCGCTGGACCGCCCTGGCGGCGCCTCCGGCGCCGCCCCTGGCGCGCTCCGCGCGCCGGGGAGGGGGGTCCAGCGCCGATCGGAGAAATCCGCGCGGACCTCCGAGTTTTTATGTTTATGTCATTCTTCGTTCCCCTAATTTTTGGACTCCCAGATCCCGATCTACTTTAGGTGCCTTCTTACTTCAAGAGTCGAGCGGTTTTCCCTCTTCCTTCTCTTCAGGGGGCGGGCGGTCGCTCAACCTACTGCCAGCGCCTTCCTACCTCATGTTTCTGCCCACTTCTTCCGGCCGACGGGTATGAGATGGCCCGCCCATGGTTTGGCGCAAGAGAAAGGCAGTCATCCTGGTCCTCCTCGTCCCCTCGCTTCCCAGAGATCCGGCGCTCCAGAAAGCTTTGAGCGGGCGGGTTTCCACTGTTTTCCGGCCTCCAAGGGCCCTCCGGGCTTCGGGGCCGTCAAAAACGAGCCAGGAGGAAGCACTGGCCCTGGGTAAGTGGTCCAGGCCTCCGGGGCCCACGCATCAACACATTGGAGCAGCCGGATGTCTGGGTTGTCCTCCAAGGGCTGGAGGACGGAGAGAGGGTGGGGAGGAGGGGGGAGTGCCGAAGCCCTCCAGTACATTCTCGCATGGTCGTGTGCGGGACCAATCGTCCAGTCGGCCCTCGAGGCCAGGGCGCGATGGGCAACTTTTCTAGTATTGGCTTTTTGCAGGTAGTACCCTCGATCCTCCCACTCGCACTCCCCCTTCAAAGACAGAAGCATTCGTGCTTGAGGGAGGTCAATGTGCACCGTCCTCCCCTCCCTCCTCCCTTCTCCTCCCCCCCCTGTCCTCCTCTTTCTCCCCATCACCCTCTTTTCTTCCTTCTCCCTTTTCCCTCCTCTCTCTCCTTTCCCTCCCCATTTCCCCCCTCCCTCCCTCCTCCTGGCACCGCTTCTGGCGCACAGGACGTCACGTGCGATTGGCATGCTGTCTTTCTCGCTGCCGTTCTGGGCTCGAGGGAAATTCCTCCTCCTTCGCCTCCTCTTCGTCTCCATCTCCATTACCGATTACCTCCACATGTTTCCATAACTCACACTGTACCCGGCGCACTTTGTTGCGTGCCGCCGCGCCAGCGCGCGCGATCTATAAACGATGCGAAGGTTGCCTGCCGCCGCGAGGCTCTCCCTGCAGGCAGGATGACGATGATACTGACGTTGATGGTGACGATGACGGTGGCGGTGATGGTGACGACGATGACGATGACGGTGACAGTGATGACGATGACGACGACGACGATGAGAATGGTGATGATAAAGCTGATAATGATGCTGATGATGATGATGATGATGATGCCGATCCCGATACTGATGCCGATGCCGATGCCGATACCTATGGTGATGGTGCAAATGATGCTGATGCTGATGACGACGATGACTGTGACGATGACGACGATGACTGTGACGATGGTGACGATGATGATGATGATGATGATGATGATGATGATGATGATGATGCTGATGATGATGGTAATGATAATGCTGATGCTGATGATGATGGTGATGATGATGCTGCTGATGATGATGCCGACGACGATGACGATGAAGATGCAGATGGCAATGCTGGTGATGATGACGATGACGATGATGTTGATGAAGATGGTAATGCTGATGCTGTTAATGATGATGATGATGATGATGATGACGATGAAAATTATGATGATGATTCGGATTTGATGATGAGGATGATGATCATGCTGGTGATGATGATGACGATGCTGATGACGATTTTGATGGTGATGATGATGGAATTAGCAATGATAACGATGATGAGGACGATGGTGATGACGATAATGATGATGGTGAGGATGCTGATGCTGATAATGATGACGATGCTGATGTTGATGCTGATCCTGATGATGATGATGATGGTAATGGTGGTGATGATGACGATGATGATGGTGATAGTTATGATGATGCTGATAATGATGGTCATGAATCTGATTACTATTATGATGATGGTGATGGTGGTGGTGATGCTGATGCTGGTGACGATGCTGATGATGATGCTGATGATGATGATGATGATGATGATGATGCTGCTGCTGCTGATGATGATGATCACGATGATGATAATGATGATGCTGCTGTTGATGATGACGGCGATGTTGATAAGTCTGATGAGGATGGTGGTACGTGATGTTTGATGACACTAGTCTTGCTGTTTGGCTTGTGGTAATGATGAGGATGATGGGTGTTGATAGTGATGATGGATGAATAGTGGTGCGAGGTAGGTGGACGGTGTTCCTGATGATGCTGGTTAATCCGAACGGTGATACTGATGACGATGATGATAACAACCTCGGTGACCACGGGGATGATGGTGGTGATGGTGATGATGATTTGAGGGCGACGAGGATAATCACGATGATGCTGATGGCGGTGTTGATGGTGACGATTTTGACGATGACGATGGCGAGGACGGTGATGATGTATGTTATCATGATGGAGGTGACGGGATGCTGATGATGATGATGCTGATGATGGTGTTGATGATGATGACGATGATGATGATGATGATGATGATGATGATTATGTTGGTTGTGATTGTGAGTGTGATGGTGATTGTGATTGTTTCGACAATGAGTGTGATGATAGTGATAGCGGTTGTGATGGAATTTTGTCATGATAATGGCGAGTGGTGGTGGTGAAGACGATGACGATGACGGTAACGAGGACGATGATGATGATGATGATTATGATGATGATGATGATGATGATGATTATGATGATGATGATGATGATGATGATGATGATGCTGTTGCTGGTGATGATGATGATGATTATGATGATGTGAGTGTGATGGTGATTGTGATGATTCCAGCGATGATGAGTATGATGATGATGGTGGTGGTGGTGATGGTGGCGGTGATGATAATGGCGAGTGGTGGTGGTGGTGACGGCGATGATGAAGATGACGATCACGATGACGACGACGAGGATGAGGATGAGGATGAGGATGAGGTTGAGCATGAGGATGAGGATGATGACGATGATGATGACGATGATGATGATGATGATGATGATGATGATGATGATGATGATGATGATGATGATGATGATGATGATGCTGATGATGATGATGATGATGATGATGATGATGATGTTTATGATTATGATTAGGATTATGATGCTGACTATGATTGCGAAGGCCTTACGACCAGTGCCGCCGACCCTGAAGACGACGAAGATGAAAGGGGGGGGGGTCAGGGGGAGGAGGAGGAGTGGCGGGAGGAGGAGGAACGGGAGGTGGATGAGGGAGGAGGAGGGGGGAGGAGGAGGAAGAGGAGGGAGAGGAGGGGAGGAGGAGGAGCCTCTTGGGGGTGTTCTTGGAGAGCTCCTGGGACGTCTAGGAGGCTTCTTGGATCGTCTTGGGGCCATCTTGGCCGTGCTGGGCCGATCTTTTAGCGACACGGGGCTCTTGTGGGCAATCTCGGGAGCTTCCCTTCGACTCCAGTACGACATTGTACAATTTCGCTTTGGATGGCACGCTTGAGGAGGGCCCAGGGCAAGGGACAGGGGACGATAGGTACGGCGAGGAGACGACTGTGACGACGCCGAAGACGACGACGAGACTACGGAGACGACAACTCGAACGGAGAAGCCCCTCGCACACACCGACAGGGTCGGCGGACTACATGATTATGACTGTGATTATGATGATGCTTACGAGAATGATGATGCTGCTGATGATGATGACGATGCTGTTGATGCTGATGATGCTGATGATGGTGATGATGATGATTATGATGATGATGATGACGTTGATGACAATGGTGATGATGATGATGCTGATGATGATGATGATGATGATGATGATGATGCTGATGCTGATGCTGATGCTGATGATGCTGATGCCGATGATGCTGATGCTGATGCTGATGCTGATGCTGATGGTGATGATGATGATGATGGTGGTGGTGGTGGTGGTGATGATGATGATGATGATGATGATGGTGATGATGATGATGGTGATGATGATGCTGATGCTGATGCTGATGCTGATGCTGATGCTGATGCTGATGATGCTGATGCTGATGCTGATGATGATGATGACGATGATGCTGATGATGACGATGATGATGATGATGATGATGATGACGATGATGAGGATAATGATGATGATGATGATAACGATGATGAGGATAATGATGCTGATGATGGTGTTGATAATGATGATGAGGATGATGATGAGGATGATGATAGTGATGATGATGATGATGATGATGATGATGGTCGTGACGGTGATGATGATGATGATGGTGGTGGTGGTGATGACGATGATGATGATGATGGTGATGATGATGATGATGATGATGATGGTGATGATGATGATGATGATGATGATGATGATGATGATGATGATGATGATGATGATGATGATGATGATGACGATGATGATGTTGATGAGGATGGCGCCAGCCCTGCAGGCGCTGGTGTGCCTGTGGAGCACGCGGAAGTCCTCCGCCGGCTCCGCGCCCGACGCGCTCGCGCTGCTCCAGGGCTCCCTGCGCGTGTCCCGGTCCGGCGCGGCCGCCTCGGCCGAGGCGGGCGCCGCCGGCTCCGCCGCGGCGGGCGCGGGAGCCCGGCGGGCCGCGGAGGGCACCGCGGCCGCGGGCTGGGACGACGCGGGGTCCACGATCGGGGACATCTCCCCCAGGACCGGAGGCGGGAGGCCGCCGCCGGCTGCCGAGGCCACTCCTCCCTCCCTGCCTCCCTCGTTCCCTCCCTCCTCGCTCCTCCCTCCTCCCTCCTCGCTCCTCCCTCATCCTGTGCCCGCGGGGTTGGGGCCTCGGCTGGGCCCGCTCCTGCTGCTGGGCTTGGGTCGGCTGCGGCTGGGGGCTCGGCTGGGGTGCGCTGGGGGGGGCCTGTGCCTGCCCGCGAGGGCGGGGCTGGGGCTTCCGTTGGGGCTGAGCCTGGGGGCTCGGTGTCTTTGGCCTCTGAGGAGGCCGTGCGTGTGGGGCCTGTGCCTGCCCGCGAGGGCGAGGCTGGGGCCCCTTTTTGGGGTGCTGCGGGCTCTGGGGAGCCTGCGGTGGCGGATTGGTGTCACACGCCTGGGGGACACGACGTTACCGCCACGGGTACGGTCGTCTGGTGTCGGCGGTGCGGGGCCTACGGGTCCGTCAGGGTGGGGAAGGCCTTCAGCTCCCCTTGCCCTGATCCCAAGGACTTGCCCAAGAGCAGGAGGTCAGTCCTCAGTGCTCTCCAGAGAGGCAAGCACCCCAAGACTGGGCAATGGTCTGGGGGGTTAAATTTCCTTAGAGTAGTGTCTGTGAGCAGACGCTTTCTCTTCAGTGCTTCCCTGCTTCCTCTTCCTCAGCTGTGTCCGAAAACGTCGGGGCAAATCCTGGTGGCAGTCCGATGAGAATTCGGAGGCCTTGCCGTTGTCGCAAGGGGAGCCTGCCTCGATGCTGCCCCATCATCACCATCATCATCAGCAGCACCATCATCATCATCATCATCATCATCATCATCATCATCATCATCATCATCATCATCATCATCTTCATCTTCATCTTCATCTTCATCTTCATCTTCATCTTCATCATCATCATCATCATCATCATCATTATCATTATTATCATCATCATCAGCATCATCATCATCATTGTCATCATCATCATCATCACCATCACCATCATCACCATCATCACCAAACAAATCATCACCATCAAAATCATAAGCGTCATACTCATAGTCATAATCATCATTATTATCATTGTCATCATCGGTGTCGTAAGTATCACCGCCACCGTGGCCGTCATCGTCATCGCCATCGCCATCGCCATCGCCATCGTCAGCAGCAGCAGCAACAGCAGCATCATCCATCTTCCTGTGGCCCACGCTGTGACACGGCCACGACACTCGGAGCTCTTGGCCCCCTGGCCCCCCGAGGATGATCGACGACGAGAGCTCGCTGGCCGAGAGCGCCGCCGCCGTGCTGGCACAGCGGAGGCAGGCGAGGGAGCGCCGGGCGCTCGCGGCCGCCGCGGTCACCGAGGCCCAGGCGGAGGTGCAGGAGGGACAAAAAACACAGACACAATTAATCGTCGATTCCCCAGAAGGTATGGGAAACTATGGGAAGTGGGGGGAAGACAGAAACCCAGAAGATATGGGGAACTATGGGGAATCGTTTTTCTGTGTGCATTTGTTTGTGTGTCCCAGGGCCCCTTCAGAGGTGCAGGGCCCGTTTCGATTTCTCCGATTCGATCCGATCCGATCTCGGTCTCTTCCGATCCCGATGCGATGCGGCTTTGGGATTCCGACTCGGGTTCCGATCTCTCACTGGAGGCAAGTTGACCTGTCGATGCCCGCCGAGTCGACTTCTCCCGGCTCGGCTGCCGATTCCCGCCGATCCGATTCACGTCGATCGCCGATCCGACTTGTCGATACGATTCTGGGCTCCTCTGGAGGTGCTGGCCACCACCGTCACCGGCGCCCTCAACCGCGTGGGAGCCTCGCTGGACGAGCACATGCCCGAGGAAGAAGAAGCGGCACAAGCATAAACTTTTGGAGCTCCCCGCGGATTTCTCGCATCGGCGCTCGGGCCCCCCCGGCGGCGCCTCCGGCACCCCATCCCTGGCGCGCTCCGCGCGCCATGGAGGGGGGGGGTCCAGCGCAGATCCAAGAACGGCGCGCGGACCTCTGGGACGTTATGTTTGTGCCGCCTTGGTTTCCTCAACACGTGCAGCTGACGATGCAGCTCAAGGAGATGGGCACCGCTCGAACTGATGGCTTGGCATCGCTCGGACGTGTGCATTTCTTCTCGGCGAGAACCATCGGGGACCATCCTGGACCATCGAGCAAAAGAAAAGCACGCGCGAAACCGACAAATGCACGGGACATGGACGTCCGAGCGACGGCGAGATGGTGTGTCGGCCGCGCAGGGGCGGCGCGCACGCCCGGAGTCTGCATGGTAGGAGCTCCGTGGCGGGCGTTCCAGGCCAGCCACAACTGGGGGAGCTGTGGTCCTTACCCTCCTGGGGGACCCATCGATCTCGACACCCCTCTCGAGAGCTCGTCGAGGCGATGGGTTCCCCCAGGGGGGTAAGGACCACAGCTCCCCTAGTTATGGCTGGTCGGTGTTCTCTGGCCACACCGCTCAGGAAACGATGCACCACAAGATGCTGTACAGTCAAAAACCCTAATAAGAACGCGCGGCAAGGACGCAAGACCCTTGGAAGCCGAAGTTGGGATTTTCGGGGCGGCGGGCGACGAACACCTCAAGGACGCAAGAGCAGGGAAGAGCAACGACGCAAGCGTAGCCTGAGCAAAGTCGCGCGTCCTTATGAGGGTTTTTGACTGTACGATTCGGAGAAGAAAAAAACGCCATAGACAGAAACCCTTGGCGCTCCCAGCGCAGAGATCTTGGATCCGCGCTGGACCCCCCCTCCCTGGCGCGCGGAGCGCGCCCGGGGCGGCGCCGGAGGCGCCGCTGGGGGGTCCAAGCGCAGATCCAGGAAATCCGCGCGGAGCGCCAGAAGATTACGTTCATGGCATGTCTCTTCATCCAACTACGTGTCCGGGTCGGGAATGCACCTCCAGCCGAGGCACACAGCTCGGGCGACGGGAAGCATGCACGGGCACTTCGGTCCTGGGTTTTTTTGGCCTATCCGGAGGGCCCAGGGCAGGTGCCGAGGCTTCCCTGGCCGATGCCAGACAGCGTAGGCATGCCGGGCCCAGGATGGACCAGGACCATCCTCCTCCTCCTGCTCCTCCTCCTGCTCCTCCTCCATCCTCCTCCTCCTCCTCCTCCTCCTCCTCCTCCCTCCCCCCTCCCCCTCCTCCCTCCTCCCTCCCTCCCTCCCTCCTCCCTCCCTCCCTCTTCCTCCCTCCTCCTCCTCCTCCTCCTCCTCCTCCTCCTCCTCTTCGTCCCTCCTCCTCCCTCCTTTTCCTCCTCCTCCTCCTCCTCCCTCCTCCTCTTCCTCCTTCTCCTCCTCCTCTTCCTCCCTCCTGCTCCCTCCTTTTCCTCCTCCTCCTCCTCCCTCCTCCTCTTCCTCCTCCTCCTCCTCCCTCCCCCCCTCCTCCCTCCTCCTCCTAGCTGCCGTCCTGGCCCGAATCTTTGGGTGCAGGTTCAAGGCATCTGCGAGCCTCACGGGACTGCCGCTAGATGCGCCGACCCGCCATTCCAGCGTCTGGACGGCCGTGCCCCAACAAAGGACCATCGCCACCACGCGCCGTACATTCAAGCCAGCGTGGCACTGCCGCCTGAGAGCACAGAGGGGGATCGCCAGAGCGTTCCTCTGCATTGCAGCCGCCAGAGAGCTGTTCGACTAACACCACAGCTCGACGGCGCAGTCCAGCACCAGCCAGCCAGCCAGTCGTCCTCAGGAAAATCTTTGGTCATGCAGCAAGTGCCAGAGGACGAACATATACTCCAGCAAGAAGTGCAGATTCTGGGTGCCCGAGCCAGACAACAGCAGAAACAGTGTCCCAGAGGAAGTTGACTCGCCGCCGCCGTGGATATACCAGCTGGACTCACCAAGGGCAATGCTGGTAAGAAGTCGCAACAGGAGGAGAACCACGCCCGAGACTTCCTACCCGCCTCCACAGGACGCTCGGGTACCTGGACGGCGCCAAAAACAAATACCTCAGCCAAGAGAAGGGATTACTTCATGGTCTCAGGCGGCATTGCAGTCATAGAGCAGGGAGCCGAAGGCATGATCGACCTTACTGTCTCAAATGAAGACCATCAAGCAGCCAAGGCACTCGTCATGCTCCCACCCTCAGGGCACGTACAAGAGCGATCCGCACCGCACATGGTCCAGCATGATCCTGCTTTGTACGACGACCCAGAGGCATGCAGCGAGTTTATGAGGCTGCTTGCAGAGGCGCCTGCAGTTGAACACCACGGACATAGCACATACCCCACACATACTTGACTCGCACTCGCGAGAGGCGACGCAGCTAGCATTCCCAGTTCGCAGGACGGAAAGCGGGATGCAGCCACGCCACTGCTGGATACAGAATGACACATTGGCTGCAATCGACCGTTGCACCGCACGCTTACGGCATACGCGCACTCTCTCCGCGCACAGGTTGAAAGACTCAGAAGAGCAACTTTCTTCTTGCTCTGGGCACGCAGCACACACCATGCCAGGCACGTCGATGCTTACATGTTCTGTGACCCGCTACGGTACGATCCGCCCGCTCCCGATACATTGGTGGGGCATCTGGAATGCAGCATGCGCGCGTACAGCACAGTACGTGCAAATCTCATGGAACCGCTCAGGGAGTCACAGCGACTATAACACATGAGCACCACGAGACGCAGAAGAGCCAAGTGGCTACGCATTGTGCACAAGACGAGAGCGGAGATTTTGACAGTGCCTGTCTTTGAATACACGACCCTGCGCGGACGGGGTTTGTTATTTTTGGTGCAGTGCGTTCGCAAATCGGTGCGCTTCCTTTCAGGACAGGGAGCCGCATGCAGGGAACTGATACTGTTTCACGGCACATTCATAGTGATAACGAGTTCGCAGGCTGACGCAATGCAGCACTACCGCTCACTAGGTAACCAGCTACTTACACAATGGTCCAAGCGCCACTCGGATAAACTGTTTGCTACTCTGCGACGGATGGGAGCCGGGTCCAAGCAGCGACTACTATTGAGGCCACTACCTATAGTAAGGCATCCCCGCGGCACGCCAGCCTCAGACACGACTGAGGCAGCCGGCGTCTGGTTGAGGCCCTTTGGCAAAGAGGAGCATACTGCAGGTGCCCGATCGCGCATGCCCAGGCAGCTGAAGATATGCTCCCGCCTTTGCCAGAGGCTGAGGTCAGCGGAGTGGCCCCAGAACAAGCTTTTCTGCCAGCACTCGCTCAGTTTCAGACGCCTGCAAACGGTCTCGCGCCTCAGCACCCAGCCTGGGCGGCATCTCGGGTAGGCTGTTGGCTAAGTTCGGCGCCGACTGAGGTCGCGTCTACTTTCCAATCGCCACTCGGGCCGCGCCGCGGATAGAGGAGCCAGCGCAGTGGAAAGGGGGGTGCTACATGCACATCTGGAAACGAGGAGGTGCCCGATCATGGCCCATCAACTCCAGATCGGTCATGCTATCCCCACTGATTGGGAAGAAGTGCCCAGCGCTACTGCGCGCGCCCCTAGCGGGCGCATTGCCGGATCAAGCTGGAGAGTCGCAGTTCGGAGGAATTGCAGGCAGAGGAGTCGACTTGGCAGGCCTGGCCCTCGCTCTCCAACCTTGCCCAAATCCAGTATGTTTCTATCGTGTTTTTGTTCGTGGACGTTGTGTGAGCGCGTTGCAAATCTCTGCGTCCACTTGTCACGTCTACGTGCAATGCAGTGGGAGATGTCGCCATGCTACTCAAGTTCACAGGGCTGGCGCCAGCTGCAATGCGCCGCTTCAGAGCGTCTCAGGGAGGGGCCCACGGCTCTCGACAGGGCCCACGCGGGCCAACATCTGGCGGCCCTCGCGGCCTCGTCTTACCGCGATTCCTGATTCACTTGCCCGGGATCTACTCTGGCGTTTCCTATGATGGGGGCGGCTCCTGGACAACATGTGGGGGGCGTGGTTTTCAATGTCATCGTGGTTGAATGTGTCAGCCTGGCTGACAGCGGCCCACTTCCCTACGCGTGGTTACGTGTATACCGACAGTAGAAGGTGCGTCACTCATTCAGTTGCTTACGCATGAGCCAGATGCGACCGCGCCAGCAGTGGGCATGTGTTTCTTTGGCGACGGAGCCTGTGCAGTACTCGGTCCGCCCATGCACCCTTTCGCCATTGCGCCATATGTCGCAGGCATGGTTGCGCCAAGCTTCCCCGGGCGCGGGCTCCAACTCAACCTCGAGAATGGCGAGCCGAAGCTGCTCTGTCATTTTTTCGGTGCCCGCTCCAAGCTCGCCAAAAACGACTTGGAGGACGCGACGGGGCAAATTTAGGGTTAGAACTGACATCGCTGGGAAGTTGTTCACTATCTGCGCGGACCGACAATGCCCTCACCCCGGAACCATCCTGGACGGAAAAGGAGCGTCGGGGCCTGAAGTAGCGCGCAGGATTGCAGGGGTCGCCCAGTCCCCCCAAGCACTAAGGAGACGCGCTTTCCCGGCACTGCGCAGGGACCCTTCAGCCAGGCATGTTTCCAAGCTGCCCAACGACAAGGAAAGCGAGGGCGAGAGTGAGCTGCATGAGGGGGCCAGACAGACGTCGAGATGCGATGTGTCGACGCCCTGATCACGCCTCCTTTACTTTTCAACGCAGGCACTTGGGCCCATCCGGAGAATGGAGCCATGGAGACACTACGCAACAACATCATAAACAAAAGGTATAGTGCAGCAGCAGCAGGTCTTCACAGGCGCGATGACCAGATGGCCCCTGACCAGGAGGTACTCGCGACAGTCATGCGGCCCGACCTGGACATGAAATTACGCGCGCACGGGCTACGATTACTCGGCAGAGTTCCCCATCATGGATCAGCTCTCCCTCTAGGTATACCAGCGCATGCACGCCGCGCCTCCATCGCGCGC